GTTTTGGGTGCTCGGTCGGGCGGTCCTTTTGTTAAATAAGTCACTTTCCCTGTGTTTTACAGGCAAATACCAAAGATAGAAATGTCAAAAGCTCGGTCGGCTATAGACCCTGGTTTTTACCTTTTTTGCATTTCTATCTAGTCGGCCGTCATTATAATTATAATTGATTCTATATTTAGGAATATTGACTATGCGAGTATGCGCCGCTCCTATTAAACGGGTAAACCTCAGAACGAGTGGAAAGCCAACCAAACAACTTACACACGTCCGTCTTATCGAGCGAGAGCACAGCAATCTATAGCCTTAACAAACACCCAGCTTGTGAATCGCAGCGAAAGGAAAGGACATGAAAGGATTGCCAGTGCGTCTTTGCGCTCAGCTTCCAAAACAGGTCTGAACACTTCGAATGGCATTAGCTGACGTGCTTGGGCAACGATGCACACCAGCGCCAGTGACAGGAATCAGTTACATCGGTTAATATCGGTTACAGGTCTTGAAAGTCGTGAGTAAGAAGCGATTCACAAAGGTGGATCGACCCGCACGGCACGCTGCAAGTGGATCTATCCCATCTGCGCATACTTCGCGGGGCCTTGTGTAGTCTTTCCAAAAAGCGTTGCGCCGTCGGGGTGCCGTCAAGCTGTCTGGGTCTGTCAAAGGATGCGTTTGTGCTTGGTCAAGCCATAGAGTCATAGAGAGTCCAGCTCCAACCTCCGTCGCCCCAAACCACCCCACCCCGTGCATATCCGTGCATGCTGTTCTTTTCTCGCTGAGTTCCAATGTGGTTGGCTGAGCTTGGACCTACGGAATGTGGATCCAAAGCGCAAGGTTCAAGCAATCACTCCCCAAACTCTATATTACTTGGAGTCCCCAAGCATCCATAGACATCAGTAGTGATGCTGATGGCTGGCATTCGTGAGACATTGCAGTCTGTTCAGGAAGCTCGATATTCCCTGCGCTTTAGTCCAGATTTTGCTAGAGTGAAACGGTGCTTCTGTCGGGCTAAATCTTTTGTCTCCTCTGAAGAAAAAGCACATTTTAGAAACAGGCAAATCTTGTTACCCTTTTGGTGCTAGCTCCAGCCGATGCAGCAGCAGTGTGCTTCACAGAAGTTTGAAGTACGAGTTTGTAAGTGGAACTTGATGTCGCTGAGCTCAAGACTCTAGACTCCCCACTTCTGAGGTAGTGTCATTCACGGAATCCCACCTTGTAACATTCTCACTTGGTCAGCTTGATGATTGTAGATTTGATCAGACGGCCAGAAGACAGGGATACATTTTTCGCAGAGCAATCCTCAACAAAATGGCTCAGCATTAAGAAGCGATCTTCGAAGCCTCGGCAGCGTCACTCTGCCTCATTATGGTTCCTCCATGTTCCTTCTACATGAGGAGAGAACCAACTTGCTTGCGTCATTGAATAGAAAAAGATAGAAAAGGCAAACTTGTGAAACAAAAAACACAAATGAACGCTTGTGTGGTGAGTGACAGTCCCTAGTTTCAAGATGCTTTTAAGACAGGTCGCATTTGCTTGTAAACGGAGGGCCGCACCACGCATCAATCAAGTGTTGCCGTTCAACAATAGGGATGGTTTAACTTGTGTATACTTGTGTGCTCAATTGTGATCTCGCACTACTAGCAATGGCCTCCGACCCAAGAGCGATGGCCTCCAACCTAATAGCAATGGCTTCCTCGATTTTCGGATGAATGTGTAAACCCCCTGAACTGACCGGTACGACCGGGCGGCTGAGCTTCTGACCGGGCCCCAGGACATCACTTTTCCAAGGGCCGCCTCGGCAGCTCGGCCGCAGGGCGATTCAATTAACTATACACTGTAAAGGCTGAAGCATTTACGGAACGGAAAGGAGAGAATTGAACATATATATAAGAGAAAAGGAGGTCGACACCTTTAAAGGGCTGTATGCGAAGATCTGCTTTTCTTCCTCAATTATGGCGCCCACCCAAAGGGCCATGAGCATGGTTTCTCTACAAGATTCACCCGAGAGGTTCCAGGAAATATGATCTCGCAATAATTCCAAAAAAGATCTCGGGTTTCTGACTCGGCCTAGCACATGCCGCAAGCACGAATCCAACATTTTTGCGTCCATGGCCTTCTCAAGAGCGTTCGCCTTGTCTCTTTGCAGGCGCCTCTCCTGGAAATGGCCACGCAATGCCCGCGGGCATAGAGATTGACCTAGTGGTATGCCTGCAACACACTCAGCAAACAAGTGCTCCATCCATTGACTCCCTTGACTCTATGGCTTTGCTGTTGCCATTGCTTCAACCACTTCTGATTTCTCATGCACTGCTGTTACTATATTGTACTGCCTATATTAGGCCTACATGTTGTTTCCTAATTGCTTTGCGTTTAGTAACTGCTGTTGCTTCCCTTGGGTGTCTCCTTCAAGCGCTCCAAGCGCTGTTGCTGCTCCAAGGCACGGAGTTGTCGGTCCGCCTCTTCCCTCACAGTTTCTACTAGTAAGGCACTTGTTAGTAGTAGCGATGCACTTGTTTCTACTAGCTTCTTGTTACTACTAGTAAGGCACCTGTTACTACTAGCGTGGCACTTGTTCCTAGTAGCTTCTTGTTACTACTAGCGATTCTTATCTTTTACTTTTGTAATGTGCAATGAATGAAGCCATGAAGAATATGGAGCTTGCATGTTCTTCTTACTTGGGCGTGTGCACATGTACAGGTACCAATGTGTCAAGGATGGTGGCAGTGGCTTAGGATCTATCAAAGCAACACGTGGCTCTGGAGGAACAAGACATGAACCTGCAAAGTGTCAATTAGCTTGATTCATTCCGAAATCAATTAAACACCCTATGACGATCTGTTCCATATGATATGGTTCATAAGAAAGAACATACTGCTTCTCTCTGAGATCTTGGCTTTTCCGCACGGCTGACATTGTGCGCCGGGGCCCTGAGAGAGGCCGAGTGGATCAAAGGTGCAGTCTGAGTGGACTCTACAGTCTACAGTCTACAGCGCTTTCTGCATGCAACAATGGAGTTCTTCGGAACATGTCTTGATGTTAAGCTGATCAGCCCCTGAATACACATACTTGGCTCTATAATTGAAGCAACATGTCCGAATTCACCATGTTCACATGAATGACTATCAAACATGGTATGTACAAAAAACCGTTCAAAGAGCTAAGCCCTGACCACTCGCTGAGTCCCCCGAGCTTTGCTGGGGCTTGAACCTTACGGACATATCCAAGTTCGATCTCATGTCTCCTTCCCAATCCCCCATCCCGAACTCATGTCCCAGGCAAACTCAAACCCATGTTACTTTTGTTTAAGCTAAGAGTGTTCAAAACAACTTGCTGCCCAAACTTCAGCGCTGGCCATAGATTTCAGATCTGCTTAGGCAAGCACCTTCTTTCTTTGTGGTAAGCCGGTAAGCTCTTCCAGTGTAAATGGTTCTTCATCCTGCTGCTCACAGCCAAGCTGAGATACTTTGTTGAAAATTCAGAGTTCAGGCAGGGATTTGACAGTCGGCCAATAATGTGCGATGTCGACCATATATCCAGCCAGGCAGAAGGTACAGGATTGTGATCATTGTCATTGAGTCATTTTAAGAGTCGGGCTACCAAATCACGTGCCATGCTTGTTCAAGATGACAACTCATGTGACTTAAACAATTTAGATCCTGCTATGAAAGACAAGTCTTTCCAGCTCCTCTCAACCCAAACCGCTGATGTCCTGATCCAACTTCAAGGACGCCAGCAAACCGAGCCTGAGGGCCGAATAATAGGCCTAGTGCACGTCACACATCCGAACTTTGGGCTCGAGCATGGAGACCAATGCAGGAAATGCATCGAAATGCACTCGGCTCTTTGAATGCCACCAGCAACCACAAAATATAGTACGAGTACCCTGACTCTATCAGTTCTGAACTCGTCTACAAAAGCCAGTCATGCATTGATACTCATTAAGTTCAACATAGTTCGAAAGTAGCCCGAGGACTCAGTGACATGTCCAAAGGTGCTTCATTGTCATAGTTTGTTGGTTGGATTTGGTTGGTAGAGGACCTATCTTTTTTCTTTGTGACTAAGGCCTCCACGGTTTGCTCTTGGGCTTGGCAGCCTTCGGGAGGACCTCGACTTCTGTCCTCATGGCAAAGGCACTTGGGGATGATATTGGATGAATGAAGGCATCTCTATAACCTCTATGGATACTCTATGGAGCCTCTCCGGAGTTTACACAAAATGGGTCAAGGTTTGCATGTGCCAGGTGTCAATACAATGTGTCATGCAATGAGGATCACCGATATTGATGTTGTTTCCCTGTTGTTGAATTCGCTATGATGTAATGACGCTTGATAATTTTCTGTGCTGCTGCGAGAGCCGCCGATACAAGGCAACCTCTCTCCATGTTACTGTGGATGTGGGACAAATAGACAAGCAAAAAGAGAGAGGAGACCAAGTAGCTGGCCTGCCTTTTGTCTGAATATCTCTCAAAGGTTTGTTCAAATTGCAAATAGAAAAAACACAAACACGCTCAAATTCAAACGTTTTACCCCCAATCTCTGCATGGGATGGCAGTCTTCAAACATTCACACTTGCTGCACCCATCCTCGGAAAGCACACTTCTTGCTCAGCAGAATCCGTTGCTTCCATGCCCGGAAAAAGGAGCCTCACACCAAGAGAAAAAGACACTAAAAAAGGCTCCACCTCCATTGCACCTCCATGTGACTGTTGCTTTTCGTTGGGGTGTAGGTCCCAAAAAGGAAAGACGAAGGATGATGCAAAGAAGCTACGCTACTCATAGCAAGAATATACGTCATGTGTTTGTCTATAGTCTGTTGACATTTCTTTGGACCTGGTGACCTTGTTTAGGCTGGTGGGCCTTGTTGAGAAAAGTTTGAACCATCTCACATTGATGTGAACCATGCTTGTATCCAAGGTGCCCATTGGGCGCGCCCAAGCCCAGGGCCAACGCCTTTCAGCGACTGTGCAGCATGTATTATTGTTCATGTCCAGAGTCCGCGTCTGCCACCCCATCTTTGTCAAGTTGTTTGCACCGCATTCTTGCAAAGAGAACTGGGAGCAAGGACGCTACTAGGGGAGTTCGTCATTTAAGTGAGTGCGAAGAGATGTTCCAGCACTGCACTTTGATGTCACTGACAAACAGCGTGGCAGCGTGGCATCTCTGTACTCAGCCATGCTGCCATCCGCTAAGTCCTTTCTGATTCGTTTTTTCGCTATGGTACAGATTTAAGCCTGAGGTTCTCAACCAAATCATAAACATATTGCAAACATTTGCAAACCCTCTTGTCACATAATTGGGGGGCCAGGATGAATCAGCTGGCCTCCGGAATCTTCGTAGCAGCCTCCGGTGAAGCCACCAAGGAATAAACAGCAAACAGTTTTTTGGGTCATGCACTCTACGAGTGTCCCCGCATGGTCTATGAAAGGCAACCTAAAGAACAATTCTAGGAACCACATGGTCAAATCTAGGAACCACATGAATAGAGCAAGCGCTTCAAGGGAAGCTCCCCCTGCCCTCGGGGGAGCTCCCTTGAAGCATGAGCTTCCCAGTGTCCATACGAGTAGCTACTGGATCGCTTAGTAGCTACCTCTTACTACTAGCTACTTAAGCCACTACAGCCTACCCCCCCTCGTTAAAAGAAAACGATTAGAACCAAAAGATTGCACTCGTGGTGGTTCAGTGCGTCGTGCACCTCGCACCCTCAAGGCTCGGAGAGTCTGCTGTCGCCTTGGCTCCAATCTTAGTGTCGCCGATGGATCCCAGCGCCCGTCGCCTGAGCCGGTCTGAAAAATCGAAACCTAATAGCAATGGTTTCCAACCTAATAGCAATGGTGATGGTCTCCAACCTAATAGCGATGGCCTCCGACCTACTAGCGATGCCCTCCAACCTAAGAGAGGTAAGGTCTCCTTTAAGGCCCTCACCTTCTTTGTTCATCTCTGTTAGAATGTTTGTCGTAAACAGTCGCGAGGCGTGACGTCTTATACAAAGCGGGCAGGTTGGTAAAGATTCTTAAGTTCTGTGGAGTGATGAATTGTATTGAATTGTTATATTCGAGCATTTATGATGTTTACTGTACTCTTAAGTAAGAAACATTAAGAAACTCTCTTTTGAAATATAGATTTCAATAGCAAGTCCATCAATGCACTAAATCACCTCTTTAAAATTCCACAAGAAGCCAATGGTGAAATCATAAACAAGCTCTTCAAACATCCTGCGACCATCTTGGAGCCACACCCCTCTTGCAGCAAATATCGCCGCTGACGCAAGTCCCTGAGGGTCATAAATTTTCAAGACCTTGGACTAATTTGGACCACCAACCTGTTTGTACCACTTCTATCTGATCAAAAGGAGTCTTGAATAGATTCCTTGCTGTCAGGGTATTAGAAACCTTCCATGGCAGCACGGCGCCACTAACTGAGTATACAGTATACACCCAGTAGGGACTCCCATGATTCAATGAGAAGTCTACCAATTGTCTATGACTACCACGCGCATTTGCAGGGATCTTTAGTCAGCTGATCCGGCTGAAGTATGAAGTATGAAAAGTGGTATTGCTACCATTGCTGCGCAATGTGGCCCCAAAACAGCCCCGTTGAGGACTGTAAGGGTGAACATATTCATGATCAAAGGGACCCCTTTTTGCAACTCTCCATTTGACAATCATGTCATGCCCAATTGCACGAGAGAGGATGGAATGCCAAGGCGTTTCTTGACCACAGGCCTGAGCAGGTTCCGCCGCTCCTCTTGCAGGCGACGTTCCTGGCTTCGGGATGTGCAGGGGTGTCTAAAGTCAAAAGGCACAAGAAGATTTCGGCCAGTGATTCATGAGATACTTTCCAGAATACTGCATTGAATACTGTCCTCTTCTGCCATTTCCACATTCATGAGTTGAAGCTTCTCGATGTGACCTGGCATGCTCTGGACAAGATCGTCAGCACCTTGGCAGGAACTATTGAGTAGCATTGCAATTCCCTGTGGCATCTCTTAAGCGTGAGAGGCTTCTCGATTCAAATTGGGCTTGTGGCTTTCAGGGCTGTGTCACTGGCTGTGTCTATCCAGCATACACGGTGGTTGCACCTCCTCTGGCTGATTTGTGCGCTGCAGCCTCAGTCGCGTGAAAATGACATTCTCACTCACCCAACGCCTCGTTGTCTCTGTCAGCAACTTGTCGGTTCCCCCTTGGTGGTCCGAAAACCTTTGAATTCATATTTTCCTAAAACGGAATACAAAAGAGAATTTATCAGGAAAAGAACCCCTCAGGTCTTGGCACGCAGCACCTCTTTGTAGTGATCACCGAAAGCGCTTGAGAGATCCACCTCACGTCAATCGAAGAAAGGAAATACATCAACCTTAATAAACCCATCAATTGATGCCAATCAATCAATCAATCAATCAAGTGGTTTCCTCCTCGAGACTCCAGTCCCTCAAAACCTCTCATGGATCTGGAGCGAAAGGTTCACATACAAGCGTTGGTAGTAATATGCTTCGTCCCGGTAAGCTATGCTGCCATGGTGCTGGCTAACCTCACATGCCAAGGCACATCAGGGTAGTACCGCTGAAAGACCTCCACAGCTTGGGTGACAAACGGATTGCTGCCATCCTGGCTGGCCATGCATTCCAGACAAATCGAAAATCACCTGCTGTCTTCAGGTTACAAACCTGCCAAATTGATGGTAGAAAAACTTCCTTAGTTGTGCTTGTGGCTCCTGTTGCTTTGGCAAAAATGTGCTTTGCGGGTCATGCTGCCCGCTTAATCGGTCCGCTTTTCTTCTGTGAGGTTGCCGACCTGTAGTCTTCGACGTTTGTTAGGTTGTGCAAAGTGTTTCTCTATATTATGTCACATTGTGTGAAACGAAAAGTGAGAGCACTGCAACACATACTTGCTGGCTGGTAACTCTCTTGCTGGCTGCTATTTGTCCACCCATGAACTTAGCCTTTTTCAACAGCACAGCTGCTCCCGGGCTGCTCCACTCCTTTCCAGCAAGCACGATGCTGCTTGCTTCCTGCGACAGTGTTTGTTTGAAGGAATGCACATGATCTATATAAACAACAAGCCATCAGTCTGATGTTAAACAATGGATTTGAATGGCTAGAGTCTAGAGCAGCTGGCACTAGAAACGCCTTGAAAGGAAGCCCACCACAAACTCCATACACTTTGTAATTCTTTGGCACCCTGTTTTAACATAATGCATAATTGGCAAAGTGGGAACTCCAGGCATCAAGCTCCTACAAATGACAAATGGATTGAACAAGGCAGGCCTATCTAGGTGCAAAGCACATGCCCTCGACACTCGCCTGCCCCAATTCAGGCAGGTAAGGCTTCAAGCGCTCGAACTCCTTCTCCTGTCGAGAAAACATAGTTATTAACATGATACATTAATAAGAACGTGCAATACAACTTATGACTGTGCAAATAGCATCAAACATACTCTAGACTCTAGACTCACCAGCACATATTGCAAGCTTTCGAATCAAGCGACACACTATACACACTACTGTTTCCACTGCGTTCTTGGAATTGCACTTCAATGCATTTCAATGTTCATTAACCCGTCAGGGCGGAGCCAAACCAATGTCAGTGTTGGCCAAAGCACCCCACGAATCGCCTCCTCTTCCTCCTCATCCAGAATGGCAATCATGGCGTTCAATGCCGGAACCTGCCAAGGCACGAGACGCTGGTCAATTGTAAGGTCTTGCTGGGCCTCAATTTAGAGGGCGTTTTTTGGCTTGTAGTCAATTGTAGTCGCCATGCCAATCAACCATTTTGGGGCAAAGGAAAGAGGTATGCTGCTGTAGCACGATGCTCGGCAATGCTCATTCTTAGCTGCAAAGCCAAACCTCTGGAGGCTCATCAAGGCTCTCAGCCTCCGGCTGCGTCGTCTTGGAGCTTCCATGGTTTGTTGAGGATCTACGCAATTTATGCCCATGTTATCCCATGCTGCTTATTGATTCATCTGGAGTGGTGAATCCTTGGAAATCATATGCCAAAACGTAGCATGCTCTTCCATCGAGTAAGCACGCATCTAGAGCAAGGCCAGGATCCCAGCGGTCGCATGCGGTCGCAGCATCTGTTCACATCTACTGGGTTCTACTGGTCTCCACAGCACCGGCCTCCCGGCTCATCACGGGAAGGCCGGCCACTTGCTGGTCCATCCAAAGCTGCTGTTGGTGCCGATCCTCCTGAAGTCTACATCATCTATACCATCTACCAGTCTACTTGTGTAATCTTGTGTATGTTATGATCCTATTCAAGTCAAGTCTATTCGTCTCCGTAACGAATATTGTGTGCTTGAACTAGACACCGGTGTCATGAAACCTCTGACTCTTACATCGATTCTCAACTCCTGAGCATGGGCCATGAGGCGATCAGCAAAGGCTTGCATCGGATCCTGGAGGCTGCCAGCTTGGCGGGAAGATCAACCAGCAACTCCTAGTCGGATTTCTTTGACTGCCTGTTACCTTGAATCACTAGTCATCCCGTCCACGTGTTGTAACAGCGCTTGGGAGATTCTATATATCGGATCGGA